TTTGTAAACATCAATTTCCAAATGAATGAAAAATTTTATTTCAGGAGGGTAGCACATAATAGTGAATTCACACTAACAAACCTGTGGCCCTCAAAATTCAAAATCAATCTCCAAAACATGTTGCACTTTTTCACACAGCAGTATATTCAGTCTGTGATTCTGACGATGAGTTCAATTAGTATTTGCATGCATGTGAGCTACGCCGGATTCTCAATTTTAATTTTCTATTCAATCTCGCCGGCAAAACACAAAGACAGATCAGGTAATTTGTAGCTTCCGGTTTATTTGTTCGTTTGTTTGTTTGTTTTTTATTTGCTTGTTTACTCGTTTGTTTGTTTGTTTGTTTGTTTGTTTGTTTGTTTGTTTGTTTGTTTGTTTGTTTGTTTGTTTATCTGTAACTTTTAAATTAATACATGTGGGTGGTATAGATTTTGGGACAAACCCCATTTTAATCTTGATTTGAGCGTTCTAGCTAATTTCGCATGAGCTATAATCTTGTTACGGCTGATGTCGGCTTTCAGGCATATTGAGTCTAGCGTCAATAACGACGGATATCGAGTCTAAAGTGGAACAGGAAATCGAAAATACGAGGAAGATTCATTAATAGGGCGTTTTCAGGGCTAAAATGTCAATCATGTATTAGCTATGTCCAACTTTGGAGCTACGGTTCAAGCCGCGAGAAATGGTACCGCTACAAAAAGGTATGAAAAAGTCCCCGAGTATTTTGACCTTAAACATGAGTATTGAAATAATGTATGCACAAGTGACTAAATTTTTTAAGTTCCAAGTACAATTACTCCAGACAAATCACTAAATATTTTGAGTAAAGATTTACTTCACTAAAAAAATGAGTAAATTGCTCATAAATTTGAGTAATTTGACTCAAAATTTTGAGTTACTGTGGCTGCATTATTTTGAGTCAAGACTTTTTGCAGTGAAATTCGCCTAGTAGAAGTCTTCCGTCAACTGTAAACCTCTAGCTGTCTCAACCATAGATATCTTATATACACTAGATAGTGCATCTAATTATTCTGCAATTCAAAAATTGAAGCCGTTATTGCATGCAGTCTCAGGTCGTTCCCATGAAATGAGAAGATTCGTATGTTTTCTATTTCTTAAACAGGGAACTTAAACATTAAGTTAACCCTATTCCAAATATACGCTTTTAAACTATTCAAATGATGAAAGTTATTGTTGTTTTTAAGCGTTTATTAGCAAGTGGGAACGACCAACATGGCCGCCATCTATTCAAATGGGGGTAACCGCTGGAATATTATTGGCTTCAATTTTACTAAAAGAGATGCGCTATCTAGTGTATATAAGATATCTATGGTCTCAACCTCCTAAAATCGCATCGACTGATGATAGTTGTATTTGAAGCAGTTTCCATGGCCAGAAATGCAGGCCAGTAAGCGGTGCGGTGTGTGGGCTCGTGTTTTTTGACCGTTCAGCGCATTATACAGATCAGTGGTTCATTTCGGCAAACGGGCAACATGGCGGTTCATTTCTATGATTTTCTTGTTGAAAATAATATTATTATATAGTTTTTCTTACCGTCGATAAAAGAGATCCATCATTCTTGCTCGAATTTTTATATTTCTTCCTTCGCCCTATTTAATAATATAAAATTTCACTGTTATGAACAAATCAATAAAAATGCAGTGACATACACGAGTTGACTCCTGGTTGTTTTGAGATTAGAGACGGTAATAATAAATCAAAGGCGGTTGAGGCTGACTCACGGATAAGATCAACTGATGAAAGTGACAGAAAGAGTTAAAGCAATTTACAGTTGTTTTTGCAAACCGGGCACCGTCGGCGAATTTTGCCATTTCACCCATTTGTCGTGCTTCAGTTTTGCCGAATCAGAAAAGAACGAACGCGTGCTCCAGCCCGATTTCCGGTTCTGAAAGGCTCGATTCGCAGGCAAACAGTGCGCGCAAAGCAGGCTGGTCATTTCCCATTGTTTAACCAGGGATGGATCCAGCATGATCTGGTAGGGGGGTGCAAATTTTTTTTCGGAGAGCAGCGATCTCCCCCCCCCCCGTCGACAACTTTTTAGGAAAAAAAAATTTTCCGGACGAGTACGTTGCAATTGCTTTCCAGTGACTTTACCCGTCCATCAACTTGCTCCACTATTGCCAAGTCTTGCTTGACTACAGTATTTTAATTGTAATTGTTGTTCACAGTTCGCTTATCATCATGTTATTACTCAAATTACTGAATCTCATTTTGTCTCTAATAATTTTTTGCTTTATCATGAAAAATAGCACCCCCCTGGCCATGGCTAGGGGGGTTGTGCAACCACCCCCCGTGTAAATCCATCCCTGTGTTTAACTGTCCCACACTCACCACGACGCACTCAAGTAACCACACGCGTGAGTCAAAAATCGGCATAATCGCGCACTGAGTCTAGAAACTGGTAGCCTGCATGGCAGACGGTCAGCCCGCCGCGGAACACCTAAAAACGGGCGAGGCGAAGAAGAAACTGGCAACTTGCTATGATGCATGTCATTTTGTACCAATATATAATGGACCAACTACAGTTTTCGCTAAGATGCAACCTTGTACGCTAATGAAGGTTTCATTCCGAATTGTTCTATCGTATCAAATAGCAATGGTTCACGAAGCAATCAAGCTAAAATACTGCATGGCGAACTATGTGCAGGAAAAGATAAATATTATTTTAATTTCAAAGCTATTCGGAAACAATTTCTTTATGAGTCATACCATGCAAACTGCAAGGTCATAGAGATCAAACTGTGCTACCTATGGTTCCTGTATTTATCACTAATGCTTATCAGTAATGGCTGTCAATTGTTGATAAACAAAATCGAATGTTCTAGATTGTGGACAAATAATAGGATTGGTCAGTCTTTACTTTCTCTTTGTCTTCGACTCTAACGAACGGTACATCCCTGCAAGGCTCCTGGTGAGCCTACCCGTCCCACTTTGAACATTTCAAGTCTTAAAACTGCTTAAAAAATTCGAAAAATAGCTTCTAGTTTGCGAAGAGCAACAATTCAAAGTCCTTATGAATTGAATTTCGACTTAATTGTATCCCCAAAAGCTCACAAAATGCGTTGGGTAAAACAGAGTACGAAAAATAATCCATTGTCACTATGATGTCTTTTATATAATTATAAAACAAAGTCATCTTTTGTGCTGTTTAATCTTCGCAGCGTGAAGGGGAAGACTTTTGAAAATAAGTTGGCACGACGAGTCACATAAACAGATTTTACCATTTCATTTCGTCATTTGCTTAAATTTAATTAATCATATCTTAGCTAGTTTTGCTGACACATTTTGCTTCGTAATTAACTTTTTATAAAACAGTTCAAGTACCTGTAATAAGTGATGTAACTTTAATAAAAGCAGCTCTTAATATACGTGCAAGTGAAAAATATATTGACGAAAAATATAATAGCAATCTTGTTTTAGTTTGCAGTTTTCCGGCCATTATTCTATAATATTTTTTTACCATAAATTCGTTTCTAGCAAAATGGATGCTTTGTTTTTCATTCTGGTGAAAACTGCAATGACGGCAGTCACCCAGTTCTCAGAAAACCATATTTCGTTCATATGTTTCAAGGAAAAGTAATAAAAGACGCACGTACGCGCTGCTATCTTTACATGCCAGCTCTCATTTTTCAGTAACCTGAAAAGGCCTATATACGGACCCACCGATAATATAAGTACTTAATAATCTACAAAAAGTTGCCGTGGTTTGTCTATGAACTATATACCGGAAAAAGATTCGCTGAATAGGGGGAGTTAGGCTAAGTCTCCACAGACTACCTGACAAATAGCTTTTTCGCTCGAAGCGTTGTCATGGTTTAATTTTCTCAGGCAATTTACACACTGACAAACTATATATACGACACTTTATTACTTAGAAAAACGACGAATAAAAAATAATAAAGCAACGATAACTTACAATCTGATGGACTGGTTCCCAGTGAAACATCTTGCTGGCTTTGCAATGGAGGTGGCAGGCCAGCCTAATAAAGAAATGGCAAAATATTTTTTTCTTCAGAGAGACAGCCGGCAACTGTTTAAATAGAACAAGTGACAATGAAGTGTCGTCGTTTTGGTGTAGCTATACCGAAAAGGGATTAAGAAAACTTTGACTTTTCGAATGCATTATAAGTTATAGACTATAATACTAACTTGCAGACAAAATGTCTTCGCTCGAATGGTCGAATTTTCTTTACCCTTTCCGGTAAGTATCCGAAGTATCGTATGTATACTAAATTATAACAGACACTTTACTGCATTGGTACTTTAAAACTAAGAATACTGCATCTACTGTAAATCGGCACTTTGCAAATTATATTCTATCATAGTCGTTTATACAGCGCTTCGAATTAGTAACCATAGATCTCAAACTCGGGCATCAAAGTCCTATGAGAGAGCCACACGAGTGAATTTTTTATTGGTCTAATGCCCACTCTAAATCGTCACTTTGCAAATCCTATTCTATCATAGTCGTTTACAGCGCTTAGAATTCTAACCCTAGATCTGAAACTCGGGCATCAAAGCCCTACGAGAGAGCCACGAGTGAATTTTCTATTGGTCTAATTGTATTACAGGCCACAATTAAAACAAGCTATATAATGAAATGGTCAAAATGATAAACACCTCAGGGCACGGCCTGATCCAATGCTTATAAGGATAATTTTACTATCGTTTTACACGTTCTATACATAAAATTCCACCAATCAGTATTGTAGACAAACTTTTTCCCTTTTAATTAAGTTTTATGCACTACACCAGAATATTATATTTCAGTCTTTTATTTTTGGATACATAAATTGGCGCAAAATTATCACTAGCAATATGTGCACATAAGTATGTCGTTCTTACGAAAAGAAACCAGGGATACGCATGATCAATAAAACCTAACCCAAACGCGTTAAATGCTAGTTTTTCATTGCACCGTAACGTGCGCGTCAAATTATCAAATTAAATTGTTCCCATGCATCGTAAACCAAATTTCTCGTGACCCCTTTTATAGCTTCAAACAGATGTTTCCAGAATAGACTAGACGCTGCCGAAAATTCCAGAAAGAATCTGATAATGAAATTTCTAATACAATATGCTATGATAATATTACCATTCGACGAGTCATCCCATAAACGCAGATGAAAAACGTTCACATGTTCTATCAGCTTCCCACTCTTAGCTACTAGATTTGAACAGCGCTGGGTGCCATCACAAGGCAAACAGACAAACATGTAGTTCGGGCCATAAACTATCTATTGTTTCAAAGCTGTCATGTTTAATTAGAACCCCTCTTTGCTTGATCGATGTAAAACTGCAGGCTAAGAGCCTTGACACACACGATTCGTTAAAAATTTTCAGCATATACTTTGCAGCCTTATACAAACGGTTCGTTAAAAATTTCCAGTATATACCTTATTCTAGTAAAGTTTGTATTAAATTTCTACTCGAAAGAGTGGAAAGACAACTTAATCAGTATAAGGTTAATATTACTTGCTTAGCGCTTTTCCTAATTCCTATTGCATATGGGATACCATTTTCCATACACTTGTTGGCACATGTAGCAAACCAATCAAATGGCTTTATTACAGTGTTTAACCAATCATAATCGATCTAAGAGTGCTGTTGGTTTTGGCGGGAACTTTTGGTGCATTTTCTGCCAAATAAACCTTTTCGTTTTCTGCCAAAATTATGCACGTCATAATAATGCAAACGCGGAAATCACGAATAACTACGTTTATATATAATTATGACGATAACATTAATCAAGTATAACAATATCAGTCAATTATGCAAAATTATCACTATATATGGATAAGCACAAGGAATTATGATGTTGCCAAAGCAAAGCCGTATCCTTCCCCTCGCCCAAAAAGACGTGTTATGATTTCGTGTCAAAACATTCAGGACTATATTCCTAACCTCACGAAATGGTGACATCTGATTGGTCTGCGGAAAATTGAGTTGAAATGAGCTATTAATACTCAACCTCGTACCCAGGCTATTTTCTCTTATGCTCGGTGCACGGCCACCAAAAAGATCCTGGGTACGAGGATGTTTAATACGTTTTAGTAATAGGCTTAGGAATGTAGTCCCATTGGCCATTGCTGAATGTTTTCACACGAAAACAAGACTGTTTTCACACGAAAACAAGACACACTTTTTCGAGCGACAGGAAGTATGCGCGGTTTTGGTAATATAATTATGGTAAGATAATGATAGACAAAAAAATAAACAAAAAATTAACGAACAAACAAACGAACGTGCAGGTATAGCTAGACTTGGTTCAAGTCCGTCTTTCAAGGGGTTGAAAATAGCGATGCGCGCGAGCGGTGAAAAAAGGCGCGAAAATATGAGAGACAAGTAGGGAGAGATTTGGGACATTTACAAGCGCGCCAAAATTTACCGTCGAATTTTTCCTGCGAGTTGACAACAACAACAAATTTTCGAGCCAATTTTTGCAAGTAACATTCGAAATGCTGCAAAGGTCCCAAGTCCGTCTCTCCCTACTTTTTTCCTGAGGCGGACTTGAACCAAGTCTAAGGTATAGCCGGAAAAACAACAACTTTCATGGAAAAATTTTGGCTAAAATTTTAGTGTATTTTACAACATTAGAATACTTACAGGGCCGTTCGGCGAATCTCCGAAACCTACAAAGAACAAAAGAATGGAATCATACATTTGCCGCAGACAATCAAGAGGTATGGGCCGGAAACGCCATTGTTTTGCCATTGTTAATTAAGCATTGAAGCCGGAAGTACGTCATCTTTTGAGACCGGCAGCCATATTGAATGGCCCCTAATTGAAGAACAAATACTATAGATTTCTAATACAGAAAATAATTTTTGTAGATGGGAATCTCGAATGTAAATGCTACAAAGTTTTTTAGAACTAACGAGGATTAGTATAAATGCACTATTGAAAAATGGCTTTCAAGCGTTCTGATTGGCTCCCTCAGCAGTAACACTGAGGCAATAGTAGAGACCTTAAGATTGACGTTTACGGCAAACGTCGTCAAACCGCTAGCGAGGTTTTTGATTTTACAACTCTATTATAATAGCTTTTACACCAGTTTTGAAATGTGTTAAACTTATTAAACTTGTGCTCTTTAGCAATGACTTAAGAAAGCAAATTAACCACTAGTCATGCCATTCACTAAAGCAGTAAATTGAGATTTGGCGTTTGAAGTTGACGTTTGGCGTATAAATTTTATGCTTGAACTGCTACGAGGGCTTGTAGTCGTTAAAGCATGAAATTTATACGCCAAACGTCAACTTCAAACGCCAAGTCTTAATTTACTGCTTTGGTGAATGGCATGACTAGTGGTTAATTTTCTTTCTTAAATCATTGCTAAAGAGCACAAGTTTAATAAGTTTAACATATTTCAAAACTGGTGTAAAAGCTATTATAATAGAGTTGTAAAATCAAAAACTTCGCTAGCGGTTTGACGTTTGCCGTAAACGTCAATCTTAAGGTCTCTAGTTACTGCTAAAGCCCACCGCACACGAGAGCAACTTGCTGAGCTAACCCGCCTCGCGTGGCAGCTAGCTCAGCAAGTTTCTCTCGTGTGCGGATAGTTTTCGTGAAGATTTGACCTCTCGAGGCTTTGAGGAAAATATCTATCGTGTTTGATACTTTTCACCACGCGAGGAAAAAATCTCAGCGTCTGCGGATGTTGGGGAGCTTAGTGCTGAGCTGCTTGAATCAATGAGCCAATGAGAAACCATAGTTTCTTCATGTGACTTTGAATAAAATGGAGGAAAATGCAAAAGATTTTGTCAATTATGTTTGTTGTTGGGTAGTTTTCCCAACGTGTGCGGTGAAAATACATAGCCTGAGCTAGCTGCCACTTGAGGCGGTTAGCTCAAGAAGTCTCTCTAGCTCGTGTGCATTACTCTCAAAACAAAATGGCTGCCGGAAATCGACTTGCAAACAAATCATCGAAGAAAAAAATTGAAAAAATTAAAGAACACACTACTCCTCTAGAAGCAAAAGAAGCAACAGTATATGGTGTTAATGTATTTCCGAAAGACAAAAGTACCTTTTAGATGCCTAATGCAATTTATTTGGCAATTTAAAACCGGCCAAATAGCAGAATCGGTTGCGGAAGAATGGAGTAAATTATATATATTTACAACGTTTGCCCATATTATTATTTTTCAATACTGAATTTATACTAAAACAATTGTCACCTCAGGCTCGGTGATCACAAGACTATATTCACTTCGCTGCCAGTGAATATAGGCTTGTAATCACCTCACCTTCGGTGACTAATTGTTAATTAGGGTAATTCTGGTATTTACCCCCGCGGTATATAACACGAACGCTTGAGAAAAACACCCACAAACGTTAAACGACCACGCCTGTATACTTTTGGCACGTTCACAATTCTAATTTTAAACAGCCAATCAGCTTCTAGTAACAATTACAATAAAAAGTTAATTGGCAATCTCGTGCCCCGAGCATGCCCGTTTGCAGGTCAGGGTTGGCCTTAACCTGCGAACGGGCATTCTCTGTGTACGAGATTGGTTGATTGGCTGTTTAAATTAGAATTGTATAAAACACGCAAAAAGTATGTAGGCGTGGTTGTCAATGATTGTGGGCGTGAACGGGAACGAATTTTTTATGCGTTCGCCCACATCATATTCGACTGATTTCTAAAATTTGATTTACGCTGTATTTTTTCAATGAACTTGGTATCTATATAATGTTATTCCGGATCTGATCGAACTGTGGCATCAAAAATTCCCATTTCTAGCCCACTCCTATCAACGTCAATAGGGAACTTTAAGGCCATGTTATACGGTGCAATTTTTCTTGCAACTTGCAATGCAATTCTACTCTTGAGAGATGTTAATTAGTGAAATCAGTGAAGAATTTTCAATATGTTGAGAAAACATCAGCGGAGTGTAATGAAGACTCGTATTTGGCAATTTTACATCTCTCACGAGTAGAATTGCATTGCAAGTTGCAAGAAAAATTGCACCGTGTAACATGACGTTTACTGATTCGCTACGGCTACGAAATCTAGTACGACTACGAGATTTTTCCATTAAATATCAGCTACTAAAAACGTATAATATGTGGTTTGGCGCAACTGTTGCTATAAAGATGTGGTATGCAAAAAAAAGCTAGGACGATAGAAAGTCTGTAGTAGCAGATATTTAACGGAAAAAATCTCGGTACTCGTACCAGATTTCGTAGCCGTAGCGAATCTAAAGTTTCCTATTGTATTTGGACAGATACTCCAAAAACCTATAATTTTACAAAATTCGATCCCCCGCCGCCCCCTTTTCAATGTTGCGTCCCAATTACTATCTTATTTGGATGTGCTACAGTGCTATAGAGTCTGCTATAGTGTCTGGATTGGGAAAATTACAACATTGATTGGGGAGGGAGATAAGTTGCATTGGTCGACTAATGATTTATATATAACCATATAGCCAGGTGCCTCAACAACTTTTGAAAGTGAACGGTGGTGGGGTCGCAGACGTTCGTGGGATTGATTTGAGCCAAACCAAACTTAAACGTGGATTGTGTTGAGCCAAACCAAACTTAAAGATATGAAGCATGAATATCACTGTTCTGCAATCTCTTGTGCAGTCGATTGCTACTAGTAATCAAATACCTGACAATGGTAGTGAGATGAACACGACTTTGCCGACTCAATTATAATTAAAGTGAGCAAACAAACCAACGTGTTTAATGATTATTCCCCTTCTGCATATAAACATAAACTTAAGAGGTTTTTCTCTAATCACTTAATTATGAGGTTGACCATCTTGAACCATTTTCCTGTATTTCTGGCAAAAACCTAGTTAAGTGCATTTATTACTCGCACTGATTTCCTCTTTTTCATTTTCTATTTGTTGACATGTTCAGTTCTCTTGTTTTTATTACAAGATCAATAACACCCTTTAAACCGTGGTACTTGGACCTGCATTGGGTGGGCGGTCACCATCAGGTTCGCCTGTTTCTCAGTTTTCGTCAGGGATATCTATAAGCGAAACAAAGCCGGCCCAAGCACATATTTCTAAACTACAAAACGTAAGAAATTTCACCGAACAATACGTCGATTGGAACGTCATGATTACCATAGCAACATGCGACGTAATTTTTAACAAAAACTCCGTGCTCTCCACGTAGTATATTTTCTCATAACTCAGATACTGTTATGCTATTTGCTTTCTATACCAATTGTGAAAAAATATCTTGTCAAAAAAACAGTAGGGTACCTGCCAAACATGCACATGTAACGTCTTATTGGCTTAGCAGCAGACATTTTGAAATCGTGCGCGCGTGCGCAAAATCATTGTTTTATCGAATGTACATTTATATATGATGCATCGTTGCCGATTGCCGTCGCGAGAGGGGGGCGCGCAATCATTGCCGAAATTTCAAATCATTTAATGATTTTTGGCAGTGATTGCTCAAAATTGGTGTGGTCAAAGAAGGTCAAGGTTGATGATTGGCACGTTTCTTGACCAGCCAATGAAAAGCGTTATAAACGGACGTATATTGCAGGTGAAATATTGCAGGTGAAATATCGCAGGTGTAACATTGTGCGACGGCAACGCAGTACTGTTATCGACCATTGCGTAATCATCGCCGCACAAATATTGCTCGTGTATCCGAAGCTTTAATACAACGTCTTTCGCAACTACAAAAAATAAAATTATAGGAGTGACAGGTTTTCCTCGGACAAGTCTTCCTTGAAAGGTTTTACCGTAAACCTCCGACTATAAGCCCTGGGCTTTTAATACTTTCGTAAGCGATTTTTGAAGGGCTTATACAAAAGGGGGCTTATATACGGGGGGACTAATACATGGACGATCTTTTGTGTTAGTAATAAAAAAGTCAGACATAAACAAGCCGGTCATAAACAGGAAAATACACATGTATTAATAACGCGCTTTGATTAACATAGTAAGCCATAAAGACAATGACAATGTTTTTAAATATCATTCTCTGCTATATTAAAAGACAATGTCAATGTTGAATAGCGTAGTGGGCTACTGGGCTCATATATTTCGGGAGACTTATATTTGGGGGGCTTATATTCGGGTGGGCTTATATTCGGAGGGGGGGGGGCTTATATTTGGAATGAGGTGAGCGTTAGTATATGTGGTGGGCTTATATTTGGGGGGGCTTATATTCGGAGGAGGCTTATGTTCGGGGGGGGCTTATAATCGGACTGGTTTACGGTATTTGCTGGTGTGTCCGATAAAACTGGTTCCAAAACTAGTCATGCCAGCTTTTGGACAAGAAAAGTTTGTTCGTGTGTAGTCAGGGCCGCAGAGAGGGGGGGGGGGGCAGAGGGGGCAAATTGCCCCGGGCCCCGAGGTGCTGGGGGCCCCTGAAAAATTTTTGTTGGGCCCCAGTCTTTTTTGTGTGTTAAATATTTCCGCGCAAAGGACAAGATACTGCCTCCTCCACAGGCTCCTCTATGTAGATCAAATTTAACTAAGATCAACATTTAAATATCAGTAATATATAGTTCAGCGCGTGCACTGCAAGCCCGATAAAGGCGCACGCCCGCAACTAAGGACGAGCAGGACAAGATATCTGTTTTTTTGGGCTAAGTAAAAATTTGGGCTAAGTAAAAATTTGGGCTAAAAAATATTTGCCCCGGGCCCCCGCCAACCTCTCGGCGACCCTGTGTGTAGTGTACGGTCGCCAAGAAAAACTTGACAAGTGCACAAGAAATACTTCTATGGTTTTGCGTGCTGGTCTGTATGGGGCTTATACTGCTTACAGCATTTATATTGATGAAGTTAACAAAAAAGTTCGCTACATAACACCTGTCAAGTTAACAGCGAGATACTCTATCGCCTTCAAATCTACGAATAAATCTTGCATGTAATTTATTAAATAAATAGAAAAGATTTCTCAGTCTATCATTTTATCGTACAAATAAAATGATAATACAAAATGATAAGATTGTACAGATAAAATGATGTACAATCTTAATTAAGCTCCGCAACCATAGATATCTATGGTTTTCCTTGACGAGTTTACTTCCTCTTGTGTGCAACGAGTTTTGTCGATCAATTTTTCCTTGACAAGTTTTACGAGCCCGCGCTATTTAAGTACGTAATCAATTTCACTATAATTTTCGATTTTTCGTTCAAAGCTGCTTCCAACGAAATTAAAACTGGAACTGTCAACGATACCACGTTTCAAAAGCGAATTTCAAAACAAATGAGACGGCAATGCCATTCGAAGACGAGTGCGCAATGACGTACTGCACAAACAATTTTCCTTGTCCGAAACTTGGCATGACTGCCAGGAAAAATTGTTATTTTTTTCGGTATGCACGAACAAGTAAAATTTGTCAAGGAAAATTTCTTGTCTGTTCTGGGCTTATTATTATCATATGACAATATTTTAATAGGAAACTCCCTCACGAAAAATAATTTTCAGAGAAGTCCTATATATAAATATAAATATGAGTCATAAAAACTAATTTCATCAAATTACAATAAGGTTAAGAGTCAATAAAAGTATGCCTAGTGTTTAAATTACAAGTGAGACTAAGACTAAGAGCTATGAGCTATCGACAACAATAAAAATACTAAATACAATTCAAAGAGTGCGTAAGCCAATCTCGTTCCCCGAGCCTGCGATCCTCGGGAAGGAACGCGAGGCTCTGGTATAATCCGTTTCAGGGAGGAATCTGATTGTCCGTTGAAATGGAATTCGTAGTTCAATCTTAGCCAGGATTCCTGGCTTCCGGCAACGGATTATCCCAGAGCCTCGCGTTCCTTCCCGATCGCAGGCTCGGGGAACGAGATTGTGCGTAAGCATGCTATGAATGTTATAATTCAGTATTAGTGAATTTAAAAAAACTGTTCATTTTGAACTTAGTAATTGAGTCTGAATGTCTAGTCTCTTCATTAAGAGTGTTCCAGTCGTTTACTGCATGATATACCAACCTTTGCTTGCCCTCAATTTCTTTATGCGCATGCGTAAATAGAAATACTTGTTTTGCCCAATCATGTCGGCTTGCAAACAGCAATCTCCAGCTTCCTCTCCCCCTTGTCAATGTTGAAAGCTTACAATTTGGCTACGTGAAAGCTTTGTGAAATACAATGTCGCAATCAACATTGCAGGGGGGAGCGGGGGAGACAAAGGCCCCGATTACACTATACCGGATTGCATCGGAGCGACGCGATTTCTGTACCGGATTGGGCTCTTGTTTAGTTGTTTACACTACGCTACTATAATCCGGTACGTGCCGCGGCGCGAAATCACTTCGCTTTGGAGGTGATATGAAAAGTAATCCAAAGATGCCAACATATGTATACATGATCAGTAATACTTTAGTTTACAGCTATAAGTGTCCACGAAATTTTCGCCATGATTGTAGAATGTAGTTAAGTTGCTTATAAATGTAAACTTGAAATGTAACAATTAATAATAAGCAATAATTTTAGTGTGACGGCAATTTAGTCCGGCCGTATCATAGCTTTAAAGTAGTATAATTCATTTCATCTCCGGTTTTTTTTTACAAAAGTATTCCATAGTTTTTGCAGTCGAAGTAAATAGTGTAAAGTTTAATATTGTTTTTTCGTCACGTCCCATATAGATTAAGCATTATTAAAATTCGCCAATATCACCTGCTGCAGTTAACTGTCAACTGATTAGCATACGCTGCACAAACAACGTTTCCACCTGCTCCCCCTACCGTCTTAGACGAGCAAAAATTAAAGCATTTGCTTGCAACCTTCCCTACATATAGAACCTGTTGTCGGGAGGCCTTCTGCTGTACTCCAGACAGCTGCCTTTCGATTTTATCATTAAACATTTAGCTTGTTTTGAAATCGCTGCCAGTGGTTTATATCTTTCACAAAACAAAACTATTTCAGTAGAGGTTTTGTTTAAAACGGTTAGTTAATATTCACGCCGGGATATATTCGAGCAGAAAACAGAACTACGGCGAATTTTGAAAAGCATGATTTGCCAAAATCAAATAAATTTCATAAATCAGTATATACTGATATAGAGTTTGAAGTGTCACGATTTTTGACTATTTTTCCTTTGCACATCCGCGAACTAATATTCAATATAAAAAAACCCATTAATTGTACATTGAAATTTGTACAATGTCGGAAGGAACATTTAATTTAATTTAAGAAGAGACTTTTTGTATCGGTTACTAGCCTATAACACGCGCTCGCAACTAACTATAGTAGTATAGAATAATATACCACTTGGTTGATTACATTCAAAGTTTTAAATTTTGATATAGGTTTATTTCTCATGCAATCGGCAAACAAACTTAAACCGGCAGCATATTTTTAGTGCTTTATTTGTAAAATATGCTAAAATGAAGAGATTTTAGATGGTATACGCGAAAGAGAAAATCGGCAATTCAGTAAGTTTTACAAATTTTTCTGTAAACGTATGTAGATGGCATCAATCTATAATTGCCTATTAAAGCTATATACAATGACTTCTTTTGTAGATCGTTGCTTCATGCCTCATTTTAACGTGTGCATGAGTTTGATATGGAAGGATATGCACAAAATTATCAAATGAAAACTCTTCGAAAAACATTTTTGTCAACATTGAATAAAACATCAAACATGGACCATTTTTGGATATACACAACTTTAATTTATGTGGCAAGTTTCCCGTGTTTCGACTAAGAATCATTCATTTTCAATGAAATATCTGAAGACGTTTAGACATTACAGACATTGGTCAGTATAGGAAAACCTTTTTTCTCTGGGGGAAGATTTGATCATAAGAGATACCGACGCATAGCTTTTTATCAGACAACCTTTGATAGCGAACCAGCCAGCATTTATATTAAAATATTGACAAAATCATATGTTCTGCATGCAGCCATCTGCTTTCAAATACAGCTGATTTTATAAAAAAAACAGGTTGCAAAAATTCGATAAGCGCATATTACTAAACACTATACTCGGCTATACGGGGTTGCTAACGATTGGATAATTCGTATCTCGTTCGTTCTAAATAGATATTAGATGATATCACCTTTTGTTCCCTATGGCTTACAGGACGTCGTTTTACCGTTATCGTTACTGGAAAACAAAATTTGTCTATTTGCTTTAATATAATCCTACATTTTACAATATGTACTACTTTGTCTTTGCAATATAATATTATCGCGCAAAATGCCAAAAGTGAAATATCAAAATGTGTATACCCAATTTGAATAGTGTATAATGAACAATTTAATACAATGCCAAGATTCAAAAAAGATTAAGTTCAGAAAACAAAAAAGTATAGAAAACTAATTTGTTTATACATGTACATCTGAATAAATATTGCAAGAAACTCCCTTAATTTTATACATATAAATAAACTTTCTTTATAAGAAATATAATAACTATATATATGCGCGTATATATACATTATAGGCGTTATATATATATATATATAAACATCAGTCAATGTTTTAGTTAGTTGATTTATTCGAGTTTAAGCGCACATCGTTATGCAAATTTCGCTTTAAAACTGCTAAAGTTAAAAAACTATGAATTAAACTCAGCGATAAATACTGGCTGAGAGAATATGGAGTAGTACTGTGTATTTTTGTTAAGTTTTAACATGAAATCTTTCATACAATCCTAAATACAGTTTTAGTCTTACACAACAGCATCTTTGAACTCGGCTTGCTTCTCGTCGTTTGGTTTCTGTCGCTGTTCTTCAAGTCAAAATATGCAAATTTTTGTTCACAAAATTTACATAACCAAGCTTGGAGAATATAGTAGACAACATTTCTTCACGACTTCAAAGAATAAACGAAATTTGAACAAACCAAAAAATATCTTTCAGTTTATTAACTGCTCAGCTTGCAATGAGATTTAGTCAATTCACCTGTCGTCTGAACGCCCCAAAAACACTTGTTCGGTGATTGATAAATATATTCCTTGTGCACTGCAGATGTCTTTCTTGTTTATTAATTTTTTAGCACTTTCATGATAAGGCTTTGGCAGCTTAATACCCCTTCGTATTTCGTTTTACCCTGGTGAACTGAACGCATGTTGGACCGGCGATTTCAGTAAGCTTGCACGTCGCACGGCTAATTTCGTAAAAATTCAGCAACATTTGTATGATTTTCTCATTGTTTAACCAGACGCAGTAGATCGTCTTGCCCCAAAACAGCCGGACAAACTTTGTCTTGCCGGTGACTGCCTGATAGAAATTCCCGACCATCTGCTTTGAGGCACAGCTGATATAGCACAGAGAAACAGGTTGCAGCGCCTGTTTGCGATGTATTACTTAAATAAAATGACCCCAACCCAATTTAAAATCCAACTGCCGTTCAGTTTGGATTCACTTGCGATTAAACCTGGCTCGACAAGTGTTTCGCAACGAAGCCATGGCGCGCACATTGTTCTTCGATTACAAACGGCTATATATAATATACGGTCAAAGTATATGAATACAAAGTAAAGAAGATTGTGTTCTATATATTCAGCTTATTTCCTCTAAAATTTATCGAGGTCTATCTACATCGGGCTACCGAACCATATATGCGACGGATTTGCAGCGAAGAAACGACAGGGTATACGAAAGTCATAATAACTGAAGTAAAATAATGACAATTATATGAGTCTACTTCGACGCCTGACAAATCGCAAAAGAACGAAGATATATATATCGGCAATTGTGAGGATCATAAGCCGCTTCAGGCCTCAAATACAATTTAAGAAAGATCACAAAACTGAAGGCGAAACGACTTTGTGAACGCGGCCGTATAGTTGATTGCGAACGCGCAACGATGCCGAAAATGTACAGAACAAAGAAGCGAATGCATCGGACGGAACGACAATAATATACGCCCGGATAGAAACAACATATCCCGTTTCTAAAGTTGCAATTATATCTCCCAATTTCATAGAAGAGAGGCGGAAAAATTCACAGAACGTGAAGAGTTAGGCTCGAATCGCGATTCATCACCCAGCCAAAATTAAGACTCATATTTCGAAGAAGATTGCATACATACAGGTAAAACCTTATAATATGAATCGTTTAAAAGATTAACACGTCTGTTTGATATCCTGGATAAGGCATTATCATAGTGTCCCAATATAGTCAACTGTTAACGTCTCAACTACCAAATACAAAAATCCAGGAAGGATTCTTTTAGTCTAATTTGGGAAATAGACCGCGATGAACTTTCAAGACCATTTACGAAACGGGCTTGCACGCTTGTATAAACTATAGGACAGCTATATTAGCAATTCAATCCTAGTTGTACAATTTTAGGATAGTATAAGTTTGTATCGTTTAAATTTAAAGATAGTAAAGGAAATAAAAGTATTCCGTTGAAATAAACTAACCTGCACTGCCGATTGAAGTTGAATTAGTGAAAGGATAAGAGCTCTTTCTTGAGTCGATGTAGTCTGAATCGTCTTCCAAAGGGTCCAACGGGTTCTCTGAGCCGAAACCCTAAACAAAATTGTAGAATACAGTTACTTTCACCGCTCATCTCAAGAAAACAAGTCCAAGAATGTACTAACGGGTTAGTTTACTATGTCTGTGTACAATAATAAGACCGAAGTCAGCTTTTGAATACATACTGTAGCTTATTTAATGTGAATCATACATGCATGCATACAGTACTTTGATGTTGTAGTTATAAACTTCCCCAATCTACTCCCGACTAAGAAAACAAATTGCGTCTCTTCAGAACTTTTTACTCTTAATAACAACATTACAGGCTTTCTTATAGATAGTTCCAGAAGACAGTTATTCAGAAATAAGCTATTTAATTTAAAGCTCAATAAATTTCATACATGTATAATGCTGATGTGTGCCCATGCAGAACTTTCATAAACAACAGTTAACTTCGGGAAATTCAGCTCTTGAAATTGAAGTCCGCCTTTTCCTAATTTTTATAGCATTCCCGCGACTTTCTTATAGTACGGAAGCTAGTTTAAAGGCGAATATTATGTGTAAGTTGTAAACTATAATTACAAATGCATAAAGGAGCTTCTTCGACCCGAGCAGAAATAATGCGTTTGTTATTGTCTACAAAACGTGGTTAGCGGAACTAAATGAATAAAGAAGGCTTAAAGGAAAGGAAGCCCGACGCGTGCGAGGGATTTAGTACTTAGATGTCAGGAAAGTAAACTATAGAATTGTACTCACTCGATTTTCAAACCCTCCGACAGGAGTTAAAGTCGGACTAGATTCCCACGTGCGGCCACCGTCCTCGAGATTCGCTAAACGACAATAAAAAAAGATGAATTCAGTTAGCTCGTAAAGATTCCCTACATTCCTAGAGTGTTTCACAGTTTTACTCGGCCCCTTACGTAGTCGCAGAGCATTGCCATCTTTCGAGCCCAAAACTCTTTCCAGAGGTCCCAAAAAATCCATGCTTAACTACGAACGACAGGTTATTGACTGGTGGCCGTGACATATAAAATCTTTTGATGAATACAAACATAACCAAATATAAACCATTGTTCACTACCTGTACGGCTCGGCGTTTGAAGCGGACTGGAAAGGCCGTTCTCCGTAGAGCTTGAGCTCAATTTTGATCCATTCGGTTGTGTGAACATCTATTCAGCACACGAAAAAAGAAAGCTCGGTTAAAATTAAAAGTTCACTCTCAATGTAACTACTAAAATTAGAACCAAAACGAACGAAATAAAAAGGTTACAATAAAAGCTTTATAGAACTACTCGGGCAGTTCCACGTTTACCAATTCCACTTTTTCCAGTTAATTGCTACATATGAATCGGTGTCAGGACGAAAGATTGCGACAAAACTAGCTTTCTATCGACCGTCTTAATCATGAATATATTTTTGGGCATTTGTAGGGTGAAGTCGCGGCTGACTGATCACTGCGATCAAAATGTGACGAGTCACTTATACATACGGAAATCAACGTTATATCATATTTGACTATAAATATCGAACGGCGAATATTCGATGCAAAGAAGGCAAGCTACTTACCGCACTAAAGTCGAGCAAATCGCTTAACTCCTTGTCTTTGTCGAATCCATTCATTTTTGATGTTGGGAACAGCGTAGCCAGGTCCCTATTATACAGAGATTAAAGAATTACAGCTACTCAGCTAGGCCATTTAATGGTACGAGAGTTCTATAAAGTCAATCCGTTAACTCTGAAAAAAGTAAAAACAAAAGCTAGCTAGATTCGAAGCTTTTTGTATATACACTGACCCGATGTTGTCTCGCTCCCATGCCCCGAACAATTCCGCCGGCCGATCGGTTTTCGCCATGCTTTGCTGTGGAGTGCTTGTATCCGGGCTCAACGCTTCTCGTCAAGGTGTTTATTAGACTAATGTAATGTCTGGTATGGCTTGACGACTTTTCCGATTTATTCCAAATTGCCGATGCGCGTGTCAGGGAGCCATCGGAAAGCCTGGAATAACTCCCTTGGGAGTTGATTTGAATCGAGAAAATAGTCCATAGCCTCAAAGCGATTATTTACAATCTTTAGACAACTGATTTTATTGTCAAATGTCATATCGTGCCGGGAACAGCCAATCAGCGTGCACGAAGGCATAGCCGCGTGGGCTGTGATTGGTTGACGACCGCGTTTTGCTGCTTAAATCGTGGTCAATTTGAATAATCAGTAACAATGCTGAATGAATGAACCTCGCTATAGCTTGCATCTCATTGGCTGCCTTATGTCCACAATGCGACCTTTTCATGTGCATTTAGAGATGCCTTTGTTTGCCTTTGTCAGTGGCGTTGAATACATTTGGATGTTTTAATTCAAAAGCGGCTTTAGTCTTTTTAATATATCATGCTTGACTTGCGAATACAATTTAAACATACGATATTTCTAATTGCCAACTCTTCTGTTAGTCATTTTACTGGTTTAGGTCTAACTGAGTTATATTCCGTCTCCCAAAATGGCTAACTTTGCACGCCTCATTAACGCAAAGCACCATTTAAAGGCGATCTTAATCCGATTATTGAATATCGAGTAAAGAAATATTTTTCATCTAAAATAATACTTTTTAAATGTGCGTATTAATATATAATGTCTTAAAAATCGAATCTCTACACTAAGGATATACGAGGTTTAAACTCCAGGATGCAAGAAGAGCACCCAGACTTAAGTCTGGCTGTTTATTAGCAGGTGAATCGACTTAAAATTCTAATTAGATCTTATTCAAGTAATGACTAATACTGTAATAGACAGCTACATATATTTTTATTTCATTGAAAACTGGTGGTTGTTAGCATAACTAGAAAATGTCAAAATTGTCACTCATTTGAATGAATGAGTCAAGTTTTTGAGAAAGTAGATTTTCGACTTTATTATACAGCCATCATCATTCTGTTTGATGACTGATTTTGTCGATGCCGACGGACTTTGCTTTTTGTAATAAAGCAAAAAAAAAATTAAGGATGCGGGACAATTTCAAAAGATAATTTTGTTTAACTCATTCTTTGACATCGGTGTAATATGTAAGTTCTGTTTATAGTCTTATAATTTCTATAATTTTACATTCAATTTCATGTAGCCCTCCATCTTAATTTTATACCAGACGAAACCAATTAATCCAACAATTTATTTTTAGTTTTCTGTCAAAGAAATTTAAATCCAACAATGTGTAGATTGTTTTTAATGAACAAATTAATCATGATAAAGAAATATCATCAGTTTTATCTCAAAGGAATACCTAACCACATTGCACCATTTGATGGGAAATTATTTCAACTGGCGACTGCATACGTCAATGTATCAATTTCGGAACCGATTTCAACTTCACATGGAATATCAGCATGGTTACAACCGGGATCCCTTTGAGTAAGACTGGTTATTTAACGAGTCGGGGTGAAGCCGGTGAGGTAGGCATTATAGTAACTCTTCCTTTGAGGTGCACAATTCGCGGAATATGCAGCAACAGCGATGTTTTCTAAACTTCAAAGGACCGTTAACGAAGAAGATAGCTGCGTATAATATAGAAAACTTTTTAAAAAATGCCAAGACAAAGTATAATTAATTTTTACACTTATATTTTGTAGAAGTGTGTGAGACGTACTCACATAAGCTTCTTAACAGTCAGAAGCGACCGACATGCAGTGCTCCGCCCACGAATGGCGAGAAACTAATTTAAAGCCCACTTCATACATGTTTGTGTCGCATTGCAATATTGTACAGTGAGGTATTGTACTATCTGAGGAATCCAACAAGGCCCTTTTTCAAGTCTTTATTTCTGTGATACGGCAGGAGGCGAATTTTTTTATTGTCTTATTCGGCGAACCGTAAAAATTAAAAATCATTTGAAAATGCACATTTGAAATTGCGCTATATATTAGGAAAAGTTATGAAGATTTCCAAAGAAGAAAGGACAAAAAATCATACAATTAGCCTTTCTCACGCCGCCATTTTTGGGGTACTGTAATTTTTCGTAAACGATTATAACAATGTGAAAAGCAATATTTCAGAACAAACTAACTATTTACAGAGTAAATTTACCATCATACACCCACAGAATTATAACTATGAATGTCGCCGTTACATACGTGGTGTCACGCTCGCAGGATTGGCAAAAAAGTACTCAAAAAATGGCGGCGTGAGAAAGGCCATAATTATTTGAGAAAAGGACGTCAGGGTTTATTATAGATGGGTTCTAACTATGCAGATTACATAGTGATAATCGCGATGATGATCATGATGGTGATCAATACGATAATGGTGTTGATTATATGGTGGTGATAACAATGATGATGATGATCGTAAAGACTGACGAAGATAGTAAAGATGTTGATGATAGTAAAGATGATAATGGTGATGTTGATAATTATAGTAATGATGATAATGGTGATGATGCAGATAACGATAGTAATGATGATATGGTGATGATAATAATGACAGTAATGATGATAATGGTGATGATAATAATTATGGTAATATAATTGTTGGTAATCGTTGGGTCTGAATGGTGGTGATCAATGCACTTGGTCCTCTTCTCCGCGGCTATATAGCTCCTTTAACGCATGATGATAATAAACGAAATTGAACACATAATGAGTCACTATTGAACTCATACTGAGTTACTCATACTCTTACGAGAGAATTTGTCCAACATATTTTGCATACTAAGCATGCCTGCATATATTTTAAAAATTTATATTTATAACCAGACTATAGCGGAAATTGCATGGTACTATTTTAAATAATTATCGCAGGTAGGCTATATAAGTGTTTCATTTGTGATTTCCGAATGAATTAAGATTGGTTTGAACGAATTAAGCAAAAAATGGCGTGTGGTTTACAGTATATATATTTTGCTCAGTATTCGATACAAAACAAATATACACTACGGCTTTGGTGAAAATTGGGATTGTTGTAGCGGCATTTGAAGACCCGCGTATGACAATCACAAACCATTGTATGGTATCTTCACAATGAGATTGGATCTTAATTTATAAAGACACTTAAATTAGGGCAAGGCAAAGGAGCACAATGGGTCTAAAAATTTGAGTTTCATCTGTGGTTTTATGTTTTAATTCATAACAAAAACACCGAAAGAATATCTCGGTACCATGTCTTTATGTCGGCATAGTATGGTGCATTCACCATGCTGTGAACGCTTTGGAAAGAATAGGATGTGAACAGACATGAACGACGTTGTATAATATTAAAAGGCGCACTGACGCTTTGATATTGAGGATTTACTACAAAAACGCAGTTGGACTGCATTCAAACAAGACTTAAGTAATAATAGTTCAGCCAATGCTAATAGTCTATAATTGTATCAACACATAATTAGTGCCTAAAACCTCCAGTCACTTGGATATTGTCACTCCTGTGAACACCTATGTTATCAGTTCATGAACTAAACGGAAATTTTGCAAAATGTGCAAATGAGACAAAACTGGGGCCAAAAGTATGCGAGATAAATACAAATCATTGCGCTGCAGATAGCTTTTTCCACGCTCCAGCATAAAAATGTCGAAAAAACACTTTTTGTCCGTTTATCTATTACGTCTTAAAAGTGGTTACTAAATGAACATTGTATCATATGTTAATGCATTCAGGAGTTATTCTATTGATGTCAAAGTCATTTTCCAAATTAAAAAATCCGCATTTCGTAGCTTGTTGTCCAATTTGCATATATATATACGACTGAGTTATATGTGCATCATTTTCCTGACATACAAAAAGTGCGCAAAAGTTGCGCACTATACAGACGTTCCAGTTTGACTTAGAACAGCAGTTCAGTGCCTAGATATTTTAGATAGCTGTTGACGTAATGTATTCACTCTCTCTATCTCTTACAAACCGATTGCAACGTCTCCTCTTTACATTTTCGATGGGATGAAATATTTTTTCAATCTGTAAAATTGCCCTTTCAATCTTTAAAACTTAAAACAGCCATTGAATAGCTTGTTTGAGCTCGCCTTATTCTCTACCTGCACATAGGCCGTGGGCCGTTGTGCGAAAAAGTGCTTAGAAAAGCAATTTCGTGGCAACCCCCTGGGGAATAGATTTTCTGTTCTTCATTTAATAGTACCATAGATGCTCGATTACCACAAAAAGTTCCCAAGCACAAAACTTGCCAAACACCGAGAAAATAGGTGATCAGTGATTATCCTCTATTAAATTGTATTACAGCAAGAAAATGTGAAATTTTGTATTCAATTACAATAAAAATGACTTGTATCATCAGGAAGCTTACAAAAATCTACATATAGGACGTTTAAACAGTTTTTTTATATGTCAAATTGTTTTCGAGTTATATACGCTGTCAAAAACGCGTTTTTGACCTAGTACCCAGTCCTTATTGCAACATTTTAGTCCAATTTTCACATTTAAAACAGTAATAACTCAAAGACTATTTAAAGAATCAAAAAACTGTTTAAAAGTCTTACATGCGGTTTTTTGTAAGCTTTCTGACGATGCAAGTCAAGTCAAGTTTTGTTGTAATTGAATACAAAATTTCACATTTTCTTGCTGTAATACAATTTAATACGGGATAATCATTGCAGATGATACAAATCTTACAGTATGTTCAGATAGCATTAATAATTTGGAGGAAGCACTAAATTCTGAAATGAAAAATATTCACCAGTGGCTTCTTTCAAACAAGCTAACTTTAAACATTGAAAAAACAGAATACATGATCATTGGAACCCGTCAAAGACTAGCTAAATTCAAAAAAATACTAGCGTATCATGCGGGGAGAAACTATTGAAACAGGTTTATTCCAAAAAGACTTTAGGTGTACTGATTGATGACAATCTATGTTGGAATGAGCAAATCGACAACATCAGTAAAAAGGTATCGAAGGGCATTGGTATGCTGCGCCGTGCAAAGCCATTTGTCTCTCTTGAAACTCTTAAATATATTTATCAGGCTTTAGTGCAACCGAGTTTTGATTACTGCTCCATGGTTTGGGGAAACTGTGGCGAAGGTTCAAAAGAAAAGCTACAGAGACTACAAAACCGTGCAGCTAGAGTAATCACAGGTGATACCTATGAAATTCGCTCCACGGATATTTTAAGGAAATTAAATTGGAAAACACTCGAAGAGAGAAGAAAGGAGCAAAAATTAGCATATGTGGCCAAAGCCCTTTCAAACCAATGTCCTGAAAACGTTTCAACTATGTTTAAAATCTCAAATTCTGATAAATATAATTTAAGAAGTAATAACAAGATGCTGATGTTGTCGAAGCCTAAAACAAATTCAATGAAAATGACATTCGGATATGCTGCTGCTAAAGACTGGAACTATAATTATAGTAAAAACTTTAAATCTACTTAATTCATTTGTAATATATATATTTAACGTATCGCTTCGACCCAAACATTTCTTAGTATCTTTTAATATTTTTATAATAGTTTATATAATAGTATTTCGATATATAATAGTATTTCGACTTTTAATTTGTATTTAGTAACACGGCCTAATGAAAAACAACCTTTATAATTTTTGTAAATACTGATAGGTAATATGGTTGATTAGTTACCGTGTATAAAGATGTTGTAATAATAATAATAATAATAATAAT